GTGCTTTTTCCTGATACTGCACTCTCCAGTTTCTGTGTTTGCTAACTTTATAACAAAGTGTTTTGAATTCACTGTAATTAAATACATTAATAAATATTTTGTCAGATAATGTCTCAAATCATTTCTAGGAAAAACACATTCAGCCGTCGGAGTTTACTACTGAAAACTTGATAGGCACTGTACGTGATTTATTTGTTGCTGGCACAGAGACCACAAGCACCACACTGAGATATGGACTCCTACTCCTGCTGAAGCACCCAGAGGTCAGAGGTACGTTGATAGGTTATGAGCAGAGTGAACTTCAGCAAAGATTTTGGGAAAACACTGTTACTTTCCTCCATCCTTTCATTTAGAGAAGCTTCATAATTAGAACGCCTGTGCCAGCAGCTGCTGTCTTCATAGAGAACAGATCAAAGGGCAACAATTAACTCATCAGACAGGATGAAGTTGTTACCTAATTGTCAGAAGANTTCTTTCTTTCTTTCCAATATTCATGGGATATAAAGCTAATTGTCAACCCTCCTGCCCATGATGTGAGGGTCAGATTCATACTGGGGCCATACCCATTACCAGAAATTACTATTGTATCCCTTGTCTCCACCCAATTATCCCCCAACCTCCCTCCCCCTCCGCCTCCCCACCACTCCAATTTGTATCCCTAGGAATGTTCCCTCCCTGTGTTAGACCACAGCACTACTGTGGTCTTTCTTTCCTTCCTTCCTTCCCCTCTTAGCTCCCACATATGAGCGAGGACATGCAGAATGTATCCATTGGTGCTTTGCTTGTTTCGCTCAACATAAGTTTCTCTAGATTCCTAGTGCTATTTTCCCTATTTAGTTTTGGGCTTCCCTGCAAGTAGCTGACCCTTTCTTCTTGGCTGTTTCTCCCTATTAGAATGGAAATGTTTATCCCATGTTTGTCCCTCCATTATATTTTGGAAGCACATAACTTGCTAACTCTGTTGATTTAAAGCTGGAGAGGAATTTGCCTCAAGATGAATTGTTCCTTTTGTCTCATACACATCTGATATAGACTAGTCTGGACTTGGGACTATGAATTTTGGACTATTGGGATAGAATAAATATATTTTTCATTGTGAGAAGGGCATACATTTAGGGGGCCAGGCATGAAATGTTATAATTCAAATGTGTCCCCCATAGTTCATGTTTGAAAACTTAATCCCCAAAGGAACAGCATTTGGAAGTGGAGCCTAAGAAGTAAGTGGTGATTAGTTCATGAGAGCTTTGTCCTCATAAGTGAGTGAATGTCATTTTTGAGGGTGTGGGTTTGTTGTTAAAGTGAGTGCAGCCCCATGTTGACCTCTTCTGCTCTCACCTTCTCTTGCCCTTCCACCTTCCACCATGGATGATGCAGCACAAAGGCATTCGCCAGAGGCTAGCGCCAAGCTCTTGGATTTCCCAGCCTTGAGAACAATGAGAAATATATTTATTTTATTAAAATAAGTTATCCAGTCTGTGATACTCTGTTATAGCGACACAAACAGACTAAGACAGGGCACCAATAGGCTTCTGCCTATGTTTTTTTTGGAAAGAAATATGCTGCATGGCACACCTGGCTGGGAAGAATTTCACAAATGGAATCTTTCGGCAGGCAAAGGATAAGGGGTAGGAAATAAAGTTTGGATCAATTGATGTATAGTCTCTGCCATACTATAGAGTGCTTTTTCCTGATACTGCACTCTCCAGTTTCTGTGTTTG